CTCCGCTCCCAGGGATCATCCCACAGAGCTGGAGGAGTCTCCAGACACGATTATTGTTGGACACAAAGTGCTTTTTGTGCCACTCTTGGAAGCTTTTGGATTAGGAGAAAACCTCAGAGCATTGCGGATGGCTGGGAATTCTGGTCAGGATTCCTGGGGATTCAACACCCACATCCCAATTTCCTTTGGAGGAGGAGGAGGATAATGATGATGATGATGATGATAATAACAATAATAATTTTTATTAAGTATTACTAATACAAATTAATAATAACTGTAACAGTAATTATAGTAATTATAGTAATGATAAATAAAATAACTAAAATAATACTAATGATAATTATTAATAAATAATAAATATTTTAATAATTATTAAGAAATAATACTATTATTTTATTACTATGTGCAGCCAGTATGTGGAATGGATACAGCTATATAAAATAACTATTTAAATAAATATAATATTATTATTATTACTACTACTACTAAAATATTCAGCCAAACCACGGATTGGATACACTTGTATAAAATCAATAGATACAAACTCCAATCCATTCATTCCACTTTGGCCCTGGGGGTGCTTTTCCAATTTACCATAAATGTTATTTTGCCTCTTCCCGGACCCAGCCGGTCCCAGCAAACAAATCCTGGCTCCAATTCCTGGTGATTTATTCCCGTCCATGGAAGGTGAAAGCTGGGTCTGAGCCAACATCTGGGAGCGAAGGCAGAGGGAGAAGGGGCCCATTTTTCCAAGGGGGATCGTTTGTTCTGGCAACTTGGCAGGAAAATTGCAGTTGGTGCCAGTTTGTCCCTTTAATCCGATTGATTTTTGGTGGCACAGTCGGGATTTCTCAGGGATTTCACCTCCTGGTGGGTTGGATTTGGGGGTTGAATTTATTCAGCATAAATCAGTGGCTCTTGTTTCCTGGAAATATCCCAGAATGTATTTGTTAATGAACCAAAAGGGATAGAAAGTGGAAGTTTAAATGCTCAGTATTTTGTGTTTTGTGCTGCTTTGGTGACAGGGATGAACAACAGGAGGAGTTTAGAGAATAAAATGGGCAGGAAGACAGGAATTCTGTGGAGCTGAGGGAGGGGAAGGAGGATGAAGAGGAGGAAGAAAACTCCAGGAACGATGGGAAAAATCCTCAAGGACAGCTTGGCTTGATAATTCCTGTTATTATTTTTGTCTCAGGAAAAGGAATTAACTTGATCTTAAACTCAGTGGATCTGATCTACTAATCCTCCTGAAAAGGGGATCCAGGTGGAATTTTTTCCACTTCTGCTGAAGAGATTCTTAAAGAGATCCATTAATTCAAATTATGGAATTCTTAAAGATCCATTAATTCAGATTAACGATGACCTGAAAACTGGAGTAAAATAACTTTTAACTCTCCTCTCCATCCCTCAAAAAAAGGGTGAAAATGGTGAAAATGCTTTATTTTATTGTGGCCATGTGAAACCTGGTGATTTCTTCGTGTTTCCTGTGAAAGTCTTTCTGCTGTGAGAAGCATCTTCCATTCAAATACTCCCCAAAATGTTGGCAGTGGTCCTTCCCTTCCTCCTCTGGAGATGTCTGAGTGGGAATCCCACTCCTCAGGATCTTATGGAACGTTTCCTTCCCTTCTCCCTGTTTTTTTTGGGGGGTTTCTTTTTTGGGGTTCTCTGGTGCCTGAGGTTTGAGTGCCCAACAGCAGCTGCCACTCTGGGGTTTCCCTCTCTTTTCCACAGCCATCAACCAGCTGAGAGTTGCCTCCTGAAATCCTGGAGCTCCTCAAACCGGCACCTTCCTCCCCCAGAACCTCCCCAATCCCCGTCCCTCTTTCCCGAGCCCCTCGGAGCGGGAACGCCGCGATCCCCCGAGGACTCTGCCGTGGGAGCGCGCTCTGGCTCTTCCCTCGCTGCTTCCCTCCCTTCCTCCCGCTCTGATCCTGCCCCTGTCCCCCGTGCCCCTCGGTCAGAGGTGTCCCCTTGCCTTGGCAGGTGGAGGACGAGGTTGTTGCTCCCTGAGGTGCCCCCTGGCAGCCCTGGGTAGTGGGGTGGAGGTAAGTGCTGTCTGCTCTCCGCTCCACCAGCAGCTCCTGGGGGGCTCTGCTGGAAAATCCCGCCGGGATTTGCCTCCAAGGTGTTGATTCCTGCTGAGGAAGGGGCAGTTGAGGAGTTCTCCGGAGATCCAAAGCCTGGCACATGAAGCGCTGCCCCAGGAGCTGCCGATCTTCCCGACGTTCAAAGTGCTCCAAAAAGATCTTTCCCCGCTGTCCCTGTGCTCAAACACACCAGGATTTCTGTGGCTGAGCCAAGTTCTGCCTGTCAGTGCTGCTCCTTCTCAGCTCTCGCTTCTGAGTCCAGAACATCCAGCTCTGTTTTCTTCTCCCACCTTCCACCAGGACCTGCTGCCCGCAGGGAGTGAGAGGCAGAAACCCACCCAGTTCTGACCCCACCCCGAGCCCTCCTGCAAGAGCCTCCCTTTTCACACATTAAGCCCCAAAATGAGGCTCTGGCCCAAAATAGTGGGTGTGGGGGTTGATTCCAAGGTCCCAGGGAGGGAGGTTGTGGGTTGGACAGACAGTGGGGGGGGTTGGTCACCCCTGGGCTGCAGCAGGAGCTGCCCAGCCTTGGGAATGAACATCCCTGTCCCTTGGTGGGGAAAGGGAATGCCTTGGCCACTCCTGGAGCAGATCCAGCGGTTGGGACACGGGATTGACACCTCCCAGACACTGTTCCAAGCCCAAAGGGACAGGGAAAAAGCCATTTGAGAGCTCCCTGCCAGGGAAGCAGAGCTGGCCCAGGTGATCCTGGCTGGGGCCAGGGCTGATCCCACATCCACTGATCCCATTGGCACAGGAACTCCGTGGGGTGGGGCTGATGCTCTTGGAGACTCCAGGTGGGGTTGGCAGCTCTGCCTGTTATTCCCTCTGGATCTGTCAGGCCTAGGAAAGCACATCCCAGGGGTTTGGTGCCTTCTCTCCCGGCGAGGGCAGCTCGGTTGGCTCAGGGTGAGATTGTGCTCTGAGAGCCCATGAGCTCTGGGGCAGGTCCTGCATTCAGGACAACCCCCTTGGGGTGGGAAAGGTTCTTTGTCTTGCCATGGACTCCAAAATCCTGGCATTTGAAGCAGTCCCAACTTCACCTGTGTTCTGACAAGGCTTTGTCTGTTGGTTTGAGTCCCTTCACCTGCAAAAAAATCTCTTTACTCTCCCGGTGTCCCTGGTGCTGTTTCCGTGTCTTTCTCCTCGTTTTTGAAGCCTTTTCCTTCCCAGGCTGAGCCTCCTGTCCTCAAAAAATGCTCAAAACCTGGTGGCACTGGGGGGTTTTCCATCTCTTTGCTCTCCGTGTCTCAGGGAGCACCCGTGGGCACAGGGGTCACCTCCACCCTGTCCCAGTAAACGTGTCCTGCTTCTGAATTCCTGGGTTTTTTTGTGTGTGCCTGAAGTCATTTCTGCTTCCATCTTGCCATGCAAACTAATCTGCCTTGCAGTTTCCTGGAGCTTTCCTGAAATTCCTGGTTCCCAGGAGGGATCTAAACAGGGAGAGGAGACAACGGTTTCATTTTCAGGATGATTCCTTGTGAGGGGAGGAGGAGGACAAAGTGAGGGGTGTCCTTGGGCCTTCTCACATATTTTTAAGCTGAAAAAGATGCCATTTCTGGCTGCTGGGGTGGGGGCAGGAGTCGGGTGGTGTCTCCAGCCAGTCGGTGGTGGTGGGAGATGCAAAGTTCCGTGGGCAGGGCAAGTGGAAGCTCCTGAAGCTGCTGAAGCTCAGCTCTGGCTGGGTCCTGGGGTGTCTCTGGGGGTGCTGCTGCTGCTGCTGAGTTGAAGTGTCTGTGCTGTGTTCACTCACCCTGCCTCTCTTTTCTCTCTCTCCCCCCTCTCTTTGTCAAGCATTGCAGGCTGCATGTACCGAGTCCTTCAGACCACGGGACCCGATGGCAAAAACCTGCTGAAATTGCTCCCCATTCCCAAAGCTTCGGGAAGCTTTGTGCCTCTAGTTCAGGCTCCAGCCATGCCAAACAGCCCCTCAGGGGACATCTCCGCCCCCGTCCACCTCACCTTTCAGAGCCAGCTCGGCGCTTCCGCCGCGCCTTCCTCCGTTAAGATCTTCCAGCCTCCTAATCCCGGGAAGATCGTCCTGGCGAGGACACTGGACAAGCAGGAGGGTGTCAGGGCGGGCTGTGAGCAGGAGGGGTCGGTTCCCAGCGCCATGCAGGGCGTGGACAGGGGGTGCGTGCAGGACGTGGCCGTGTCCAGCTCGTTGCCCCAGGGCGGCCCGGCCTACATGATGGTCAACGCCAAACCTGTCCCCGTGACCGTCAAGTCCCCGGTGCTGCCCTCGGGCCACCACCTGCAGATCCCGGCGGACGCGGAGGTGAAATCCGTGCCGGCCTCGCTGCTGCCCCCGGCCATCCAGCAGAGGATCCTGGCGGCCACCGCCGGCACCGACGGCTCCAGGACGCCCACGGTGATCTACGTGTCCCCCGTCAACACCGTGAGGACCCCGCAGGCGCTGCCCAAGCGGCTGCTCTGCCCCCCAGGCGGGGCCGAGGCGCCCAAGGCGCTGCTGCTGACGGCGGCCCCGGAGCGGGGGGGATCTCCCGGCCCGGCTCCCCCCGTGGGGCGGCAGCGCCGCCGGAGCCCCATGAAATGGATCGTGCAGGAGGCCGCTCCCATCTCGGCCCCCTGCCTGATCCCCGTCAAATCCTCCAACAACGTGGCCTCCAAGATCCTGAAGACGCTGTCGGACGCCAAGAACGCAGAGGGGAGCTCTGCCAACGTCCTGCTCCCCTGCCCCGGCGGGGCCCAGGCCAAGCTGGCACCGCTCAAGGACAACGCCCTGGTGATGTACAACGGGAAGGTCTATCTGCTGACCAGGAGAGGCTCTGACATCCTGGCAGCCCAGGCTGAGAGACAATCCCCTTCCTCCTCCTCCTCCGAGGCTCCCCTTAGGAAGGAGAGGCCCCAGCGAGTGGACTCCTCTGCCGTCAACAAAATAACCAGCAAGGTGGTCAACCTGGTGCTGTCCAAGAGCAAAGGAGTGCTGCTGGCTCACAGGGACCCCAGCCCACGGGCAGACCCCCAGCACTCGTGCCCAGACGGCTCCAGAGCCGCCCCAGTGCCGCCCAGTGCGGAGCAGCGTGACCCAAGTGCCGTCCAGAGGAGTCCCTGCCCCGTCCCAGCCCCGGGACACGGCCCAGCCCCGGCCCTGGGGACACAGGGCACACCTGGCAGGGACAGGAGTCACCTCCCCCCCAGAGCGGCAGGGACTGTGTCCCCTCAGGGTGAGCAGGAACGTGCTCCCAGTGGAGAGTGGCCCGAGGTAATTTAATTACCAATTAACCCCCCCTCAGTCTCCCATGGGGTTTGAGGTGACAGAACGGCCCTTGAGGAGCTCACGGAGTTTTGTCACCGGGGATCCCAGTCTGGAGTTGGTTCTGGCCCATAAATGGCCTTTTCCTCCTCACTGGGGTCGAGCTGTGCAAGTGGGAGATGCCGGAGGAAGGGGCCCAGCACGGATGGGTTTTGTCCCCTCACGGGACAAGCTGGAGCCCCAGGGGGGCTGGTCGTGCTCTGAGCTCTGCAAGGTGGATCCTCCCACGTTCCCAGCACAGCTGGGGGCTGCAGGGGGGATGTGAGGTGGAGAAGGAGAACTTTGCAGCTTCCCGAGGGAAAAGGAGCTGGAGGAGCAGAGTTTGTCCTCCTGGCAGGCACAGTCAGCTCCAGGCTCCTTCCTCCCTGCCCTGCGTGTTCCTCACCCGAAAAAGGGTTGAAATAGAGTTTATTTCTGCATTTCCTTTAAGCAGCTGAGCAAAAGTGCTGCTTTCTGCCCTGAAATTTACCTCGCCCTGAATTTTCAAGAGCAGAGGCACTGCCTGCTCCTCCCTCCTCCTCCTTGGGGATTCTGTTGTTGCTCCTCTAATTTCTGTGGTTGCTGGTTGGGCTGGATGTTTTCTGGATGTTCCATGATGAATTTTCACTGGTTTTTTTTTTTGGAGGGGGTGTTAAATGGAGTTTTAAGTCATTACGGAGTGTTAGACCTCTGATAACGTGCATAATTTACCAGAATTGTTCTCTATGCTAAATGGGGCTCTTGGAGGGGGGCAGACCCAGCCAACGTTCTCCTCTCCTTCCCTCACCTCTTTTTCCATATTCCTGTGTTTTATCTGTTGTTATGGAGAGAAGGGGTCAGTGGGAGGGGGTCTGATGGCTCTCCTGCTGATTCTGTGTTTCAGGTCCGGTGGGAGCAGATGGATCCCCTGGGAAAGGTGACAACACAGCCCCCAGAGCAGCCCCACTGGAAGCAGTACTCGGAACTGAGGAGGAGATTTGGGCTGTCCAAGGAGGAGAGGGTTTCCCTGAGGAGGATCCCACTGACATGGGAGCTCTGGGAGGAGCCTGAGGGAAGGGGCTGTTCCAGTGACAGCCAGGACAGCAAAAGGGATTCCTGCAGCTCATCCTCCCTGGATGTGGAAACAAAGAACTGCCCTCAGGAGTGGGCTCAGGAGGAAAAGGTACCTGGGAATTCTTCAGGGTGCAGGGCTGGGGGTTGGGAGCTGGGGAAGGTTCACTGGGAAACGTTGGCACAGTTGTTCTCAGAACGTGTTTGGGTTTCCTGAGCACCAGCTGAGAATCTCTGGGCTCGGTTTTGGGGGCTCCACCAGAGGGAATTTGGACAAGAAATGGTTTGGAGGAGTTTGGCCCCACTGGTGGTGGCTGGAGAGTCCCTGGGGCCTCTGTGTCCTGAGTGGTGTTCAACCCCTGCACCCCCAGGGCAGGGGCACAGGCAGAGGAGTGGGAGGATAATTTGGTGATTAACATAATTTATAATTAATTAAGAATCGTGTCAGTTGAGTTTGAGATCAGCCAAGGGCCATCATTTCAAGGCTGGGGGTTTATTAGAACTGAAGCAGAACTAATTTATTGCAATAAATTGACCTGTGGACCTGCCCAGTCTTCAGAGCTGCAAATCCTTAAAACTTTGTCCTTTGTCACTGGGAGAACTCGGTTGGATGTTCCTGGAGTGGGGAACTCCCATCCCAGTGCAGGGGAGGGTTTTATCCATCCAGTTCACCCAGTGTCCTGCATTTCCTTTTCTGGGGCCCTGCCCAGCCCAACCAAAGCCTCTCTCAGGCTCTGCTAATCCTGTGCTAAACCTGAGCAGATTTAAAGCTGCTCTTCAGATGAAACCATCCCTGGAGGTGCCCAAGGCCACCTGGAGAACCTGGGAGAGTGGGAGGTGTCCCTGCCCAGGGCAGGGGGTGGAGCTGGATGAGCTTTGAGGTGTCTCCCAACCCAACTCATTCCATAATTCCATGATTTAAATACCAGGATATCGGAAGGGAATTCCCCTGATAATGGACATCTGCTGTGGTTGAGCTTTTTGGAAATTTAAACACGAACAATTCTGGTTCATTTTGAGTTTTCCCATCAGGTTAGAAAGTCTTTGTCCTGCCCTTGTGGTAAAGAACTTGAGCAGCCACAGGAGGTGATGGGCAGGCCCAGCAGGTGTGCAGTGTCCTTCCACCTCCAGGAGGGAATGGAAGGCCCTGGAATTTTTGACTGGGAATCTTGGCCACAAAAATACGGAGCACAGGAAGGTGTCCCTTTGCTGAAGGAATTCTGAGGGGTTTCAGCAGAGAGCTCGTGGTTTGTGTTCCCTGGCCACAGCTGGGGCTGATCCAACCTTTTTGTGTGTTCCTGCCCGTGCAGGTCGTTGTGGATCTGGAAGAGGATCTGACCAGGAAAAGGAAAATCAAATCATCCCCACTGTCAGACAGCAGGAAGAGAAGGAGAAACTCAGCCAGATCCTCCCCAAGCCCGAGTTCAGAACCCCCCAATGCCCCTCCCAGGAGCGTTTCACCCCTTCCAGCCTCCCCAGAGCCGAGAATTCCCAGAGGATCCTGCGGAGCTTCCCCAGGGAGGGACTCGGAGCCGGGGACACCCCTGACCTGCAGCGACAGCTCGGACTCGGAGATGCCAGAGCTGGTGACTCCTGGGGGGGCTGCCTCCCTTCTGGAAGGTTCTTTCAGGGATGACGCCTTCCCGGTGGCTCCCCCGGACCTGGACGAGACGATCCGGGACGAGAAGATCCGGCGGCTGAAGCAGCTGCTGCGGGAGAGGGAGGCGGCGCTGGAGGAGATGAGGAGGGAGATGCAGCAGAGCTGAGACCCCCCCAGCTGCTCCTTCCCTCCTGCAGGGAGAAACCCTCACTGGAATAAACACTCCTGGCTGGAGCAGCCTCCTGCATTCCGAGCCGTGGGTGTGTTTGGAATTCCCTGTTGGAATGCCGGGAATGGGAGACGGGACCGTCCGATCCCACCCTGGGACATCCCCCCAGGGGGCACCTTCCTGAGCACCCCCGTGTCGGGGCTCGGGGGGTTCTGGGCCGCTCCTGGCAAAGGCATTTCGGGGTCCCAGGGCCTGGAGCAGACTGGGAGGGCCCAGCTGGGGGAGTGGGTCTGGTTGTCCTCATGTGCGTGAGGACTGTCCTGGGTGGATCCATGAGAACTGTCCCTGGTGGATCCATGAGAACTGTCCTGGGTGGATCCATGAGAACTGTCCTGGGTGGATCCATGAGAACTGTCCTTGGTGAATCCCTGAGAACTTCCCTTGGTGAATCCATGAGACCTTTTTTTGGGAATCCCTGAGAACCTTTTTTTGGGGATCCCTGGGAACAGTTGTCAGTGGACAGGCTGGACGGGCCGGTGGGTTCATGGGTGTGTTTGAGGGGTCTGGGATTGCACTGTGGGGTGGTGATGCTGCAGATATTTATACAAACCCTGGAGAAGGAGCCCTGGGCTGGCTCCGAGGATTCCTGGCTCTCCCTGTGGTTTCTGTGAGCCTTTATAAGGCCTTGGCCAGCTGTGCAATGTGGGGCTCTGCCTGCTTTGGAGGGGGGGGGTGGTTTTTATTAACCAGAACTCTGTTAATAAGAATTGAAAGTTGTGTTTCTGTGGCTCCAGGCAGTGTCTTCAGCAGTCCTTGGTGGGTTTGGTGTGGCCTGGACGTGCCACCCCCGTTGATGGTACTTTGGTTGCAGTTGTAGGGTGGGATGTCTTTGGACCCTCACCCTCCGTGTCTTTGTCCTCCTGCAGCCCCTCCCTCTCCCTGACAACAATGAGTGAGTTTTTATTTGTTCCCAGCAGAATTTGTCACTGTTTTTTCCCCCTTTGTCCATTTATGGTTTACAGGGACCATCACCAAGCCCTGGGGGTTGTTGCTCACCGGGGTTATTTTGTGTCATCGTTCCTGTTTTCTGTGTTTTAATCCGATTTTCCCCTGCAGGTTTTCATTTATTGCCCAACAGGGGGTTGGTGGGGGGAGTTGCTTTGGGGGTGGATCCTGGAGGGCTCTGCCAGCCCCACCTGCCCTTGTTTTGATGAGTCCTGGTGGTGGGAAAAACTCCAGTGGAGTTTTCCAGAAGAAGGAAGTGCCTGCTCTGAGGAGTCTCAGGTTTGGGTGGGAAGGGACCTTGAAGATCATTTCATGATGGGCAGGGACACCTTCCATGAGGTCCAGCCTGGCCTGGGGCACTTCCAGGGATGGGCAGAGCTTGGAGAGAAAAGCAGAGTGGAGGGTGAGGGAGGTGAGTGATGGAAACAAACCCTTTGGTTGAGATTGAGGTTGCTGAGCAGGTCAGGGCATCACCCAGGGGGTCCCTGAGTGTGCAGAGGGAGAGTCTGGGGGCAGAAATCCCACCGAGTGGCCCAGGGAAGCAGATTAATTAAACACTTAATGAAGGGCTGTGAGAGGGGGATGTGACTGAATTGGGCCTGAACTGGATGGAGGGAAGGACCAGGGCTTGGACTCGGATCCCTGGGGGTCCCTTCCAACCCAGGACACGCCAGAATTCCGTGGCCACTGCGGGAGTGGGACCCCCAGTGGGAAATGTGCAAAGCAAAGGGGACAATTCCATGGGATTTGGGGGAAAATGTGGGGTTTGAGCAGCCAGCGAGGACGATTCCTGAGTGCTGCTCCCAGCAGGGGTGGGAGGAGCCCAAGTTTGGCCAAGGTGAGCAGGACTGAGGAGTCAGCGGTTCCGTGGGGAAGGTGGGAACGCTCCCTGCGTGGGCTGACCTTGGCCAATCCCAAACTGCTCCCTCCTTCCCCTCCCATGGGATGGGGGGAGGCACAGATGGAGCTGTGGCTCGAGCCAAAGGCAGTTTGGAAAAGCAAACTCAGGAATTCCATCCCCAGTCCTGTCAGCAGGCAGAGGGTTGGACATTCCCAGGCTCCATTTCCTGTCATTCCCAGGCTCTCCATGTGTGTGATGTGACACTGGGAAGAGAAATCCCGTGCCCAGAAATGTCTCTGCATCCTCCTGCTGCCATCAGGCCTTTCTGTGCTGAGCAGGACCTTGTGTGGCCCAGAAAATCCCTGGGATCAGGCTGGGAAAACGGTCCTGGCTGTGCCCAGTCCCAGCTTGTCCATTCCCAACTTCTCATTGATCCCCAGATTTTTGTTCATCCCTATCTTCTTATTATCCCCAACTTCTCATCCATTCCCAACTTGTCCATTCCCAACTTCTCATCCCTTCCCAACTCCTGGTCCATTCCCAGCTTCTCCTCCATTCCCAACTCCTGGTCCATTCCCAATTCTCCATTCCCAGCTGCTGGTCCATTCCAAGTTCTGGTCCATCCCAGCCCCCTCTGGGGTCTCACAGTGGGAGGAGGAGGAGGAATCCTGGATGTCCAGACCTGGATGTGTCACCCCCAGTCCCCTCCCACATCCCAGACCCGCTGCTGGGGCAGCTGGAAGGGCACTGACTCCATCCCACTGGATGTGAGGAGGTGGGAATTGGGAAGGAGGTGGAAGCAGCCTCTGACAAATGTCCTTCCTCTGTTTGCCAAGATCTCCAAGGAAATGAAGCCAAGATCTCCTCTCCTCTCCCTGGAGGATTCCAGCACCAACATCCCACAACATCCGTGGGATGCTCCCAGGAGCTCCTCTGGGCCTGCGTTTTCCCTAAAACACTGAAAACTGGGAGAAGAATCCTCCCTGCAAGGTTGGGATGGAATGTGGCCAGTAGGATTTGGGGGGAAAAAAGTGAAGGGGCTGTTCCCAATCCAGTCCTGGTGCAGATCCCACGGACACAGCAAAGCCAAGATGGAAGAGACGGAGGTGCCTCCTTGGAGTGACATCCACACAAAGGTGGAAGGGACACAGAGAGCCAAGGGAAGCCCCTGGGAGGGGGAAAAGTTGTTCCAGCAGGAGCAAAGGGGCTCCCAAGAGCCAGGGAAAGACCTGGAGGTTCTTGGAGCTGCTCCTCAGCCGGACCCGTCGTCTGCAGCGTGGATTTGGTTCTGCCCTTGGTCATCCCGGGATCCAGGAGGAGTTTCTGAAGGAATGGGAGCTCTGGGAGCCCTGGCTGTGACCCTGTGCCAGCTGTGGGAGCCCTGGCTGTGCCCCTGTGCCAGCTCTGGGAGCCCTGGCTGTGACCCTGTGCCAGCTGTGGGAGCCCTGGCTGTGACCCTGTGCCAGCTGTGGGAGCCCTGGCTGTGACCCTGTGCCAGCTGTGGGAGCCCTGGCTGTGCCCCTGTGCCAGCTGTGGGAGCCCTGGCTGTGACCCTGTGCCAGCTCTGGGAGCCCTGGCTGTGCCCCTGTGCCAGCTGTGGGAGCCCTGGCTGTGCCCCCAGGGGGTGACAGTCACTGCTGGTCCTCTCTGGTGCAGAAGGTGCTGCAGCTCCACACGGGGACACCTCCAAGGACAGATGAAATCCGTGGATTTAGGCCATGAATTAAAGCTGTTCCCTGGAGCAAACACTCCGGAAGGATCCTTGGAGGACCTTTTGGGAATTTCAGGTCCAAAGAGCAGTGGGGGCAGCACGGAACAGGCCAGGCTGGGGCTGGGCAGGACTGGCCTGGTGTCACCACCCAGCTGGGGACAACCCACCGGGGTCTTCTGGGAGGCACAACCCTTCCCCCAGGCCTGACCTGGACACCCACACAGCCAGGGGATCCTTCAGGCTGGAAAAGACCCTCCAGGGCATCAGAACCTACAGGAAACCTGACCCAGCCAAGCCCAGCACTGAGCCAGACACGGGCACTGGAAGCAACTGGGAGTGATTTTGGGGTCTGTGCAGGCCACCTGACCAGGAAAACCCCCTGGATGAGCCTTGGACAGGCAGGATGTCCACATGTCCACAACCCCTGCTCCTCATGGGGGGCTTCACCCACCCAACACAGCAGGGCAGAACTGACCCAGGAGGTTCTGGGGTGTGTTGGTGGTGATGAATTCCCTCTCCAAGAGGTAGAAGAGCCAACAAGGAGCAAGGGCTGGGCTGGCCCTTGTGCCCACCCACCAGGAGGGGCTGGTGTGGAGAGAGAAGCTCAGGGAATGTGGAAGACTCATCCCTCCTCCAGAGGGAAACAGGAGCCCTGGTTACCCTGGGCTCAGGCTCTCCAGGATGGTTGTGCCCTCACCAGCTCCAGTGGCAGGAGGCGACGGCAGGGACTGCCAGAAGGAAGCACCATCCCCAGCAGGAGAATCCCAGAACCCTTGAGGTTGGAAAAGCCCTCCAGGACCATGGAGTGCCCCCTGTGCCCCATCCCCACCCTGTCCCCCAGCCCAGAGCACTGAGTGCCATGGCCAGGCCTGCCTTGGGCACCTCCAGGGCTGGGCACTCCAAACCTCCCTGGGCAGCCCCTGCCAAGGCCTGACCACCCTTTCCAGGCAGAAATTTCTCCTGATGTCCCACCTGCCCCTCCCCTGGCACAGCTGAGGCCGTTCCCTCTCCTCCTGTCCCTGTTCCCTGGGAGCAGAGCCCGACCCCCCCCGGCTCCCCCCTCCTGTCAGGGATTGCAGAGCCAGAAGGTCCCCCCTGAGCCTCCTTCTCTCCAGGCTGAGCCCCCTCAGCTCCCTCAGCTGCTCCTGCTGCTCCAGCCCCTTCCCAGCTCCGCTCCCTTCCCTGGACTTGAGAAGATCAGAGGGACCATCCGAGGGTCCCGAGGGTGCCCAAGTCCACGGGAGCTGAGGAGATGCAGCTGAGGATCTCGAGGGAGATGGTGGAGGAGGTGCCTCTGTCACTCTCTGTCGTGTTTGAGGAGCTGTGGTGGTCCATGAAATCTCCACAGGCTGGAAAAGGGGAAGTTTGGGCCCCTTTTTAAAAATGAGGAAGAGCCAGGGCACTGCAGGGCAATCAGCCTCACGCTGGTGCCTGGCACGGTCAGGGAGCAGATCCTTCTGGAAGCTGCACATGGAGGATAAGGAGGTGATTGGTGACGGCCAACGTGGCTTCTCTGAGGGCAGACGGTGCCTGGCGGGGCCTCGTGGTGTCACCTCGGGGTGACAGCGCTGGTGGGCGAGGAAAGAGCCAACTGACCCCACCTGCCTGGGCTGGGGCACAGCTTGGGACACTCCCCGTGCCACCACCTCCAGCTGCAGACTGGACGGTGACACTCACAGTGGTGGCCGTGGCTCGGCGTGGAGCCCTCGGGGTGGGTGTGGCACTGGTGTGTCCCTGGTGTGGCACTGGTGTGTCCCTGGTGTGGCCCTGGTGTGACACTGGTGTGTCCCTGGTGTGACACTGGTGTGTCCCTGGTGTGACACTGGTGTGTCCCTGGTGTGGCACTGGTGTGTCCCTGGTGTGTCCCTGGTGTGGCACTGGTGTGTCCCTGGTGTGGCACTGGTGTGTCCCTGGTGTGTCCCTGGTGTGGCACTGGTGTGTCCCTGGTGTGTCCCTGGTGTGTCCCTGGTGTGTCCCTGGTGTGGCACTGGTGTGTCCCTGGTGTGTCCCTGGTGCAGTTTAACCTGTGCTGGTGTCAGGGACAGGGGGACTGCAGCACCCTCGGGAGGGGCTGATGGCACCGAGCTGGGGGGTCACACCCCACGGGGAAGGGACGGGACACCCAGAGGGCCCTGCACAGGCAGGAGGGGGGTCTGTGGGACCCTCAGGAAGTTCAATGAGATCAAGCACGAGGTCCTGTCCCCGAGCTGGAGCAACTGCAGGAACAAACCCGGGCTGGGGATGAACAGATTGAGCAGGACCTGGGGGGGCCGGGGAGGGACAGGCTGGACATGGCCCTGCCCACATCCCCCCCCCGTGCCCTGGGCTGAGCCCACAGCAGGGGCAGCAGGGAGGAGGGGGTTGTGCCCCTCTGCCCCTCAGGGAGACACCCCTGCATCAGAAGGACGTGGAGCTGCTGGAGCGAGTCCAGAGGAGGCCACGGAGATGATCCCAGAGGTGGAAAACTTCTCCCGTGAGGAAAGGCTGAGAGAACTGGTATTGCTGGAGGAGAGAAGGCTTTGGGGTGACCTCACCATGGCCTCCCAGTGCCTGAGGGGACCAACAAGAACCGTGGAGAGGGACTGGGGACAAGAGCTGGAGGGACAGGACACAGGGAATGGCTTCCCACTGCCAGAGGGAGGGATGGATGGGATATTGGGAAGGAATTCCTCCCTGGGAGGGTGGGGAGGGGCTGGGATGGAATTCCCAGAGAAGCTGTGGCTGCCCCAGCGCTGGGAGTGTCCAAGGCTGGGTTGGAGCAGCCTGGGATAGAGGGAAGTGTCCTGCCCAGGGCAGGGGTGGGACTGGATGGGATTGAAGGTCCCTCCAACTCTGGAGCACCTGAGAGCTGGGAGCTGCTCCAGGGGGCTGCCCATCCCTGGGTGTCCATCCCTGGGTGTCCATCCCTGGTTCTGCCCATCCCTGGTTCTGCCCATCCCTGGGTGCCCATCCCTGGGTGTCCATCCCTGGGTGCCCATCCCTGCCCGTGCCCTCGGGATAAGGCAGGAGAGGGTCCAGAGGGCTCTCCTGCACTGGGGGGTCGTTGCCCCCCAGCAGTTGCCCCGAGCTGGAACTGCCGAGCAGGAACCCCCACGAGCAGGAACCCCACGGGCTGTGGGCTGGGGGGTTGGGTTTAACTCAGGAATGTGCTGGTTTGGGCAGTGGAATTTTGGGGGTTGGAAAAGCCCTCTGAGGTGACGAGTCCAACCCTTCCCCCAGCACTCAGCACGTCCCCAAGTGCCACATCCAGGTTTTTTGGGTCCTCTCAGGATGGGGACTCCCCAGTGCCCCGGGGGCTGTGCCAGGGCTGGAGACCCTCCTGGAGAAGAAATGATCCCTGATCCCAACCTGGACCTTGGGATGTCCTGGCTGGCATCACAGAGGGAAACCTGGAGAGCAGGAATGGCTCCTGGGAACAGCAGGAACGAGAGCAGGGAATTCCAGGCACCACAGGCAAGGAGAGGGAAGCCCTGTGAGCAGGGAAGGGCCCTCAGGAACCTTCCTGAGAGATGTAGGAATGTTTTTGTTTTTTTTTTCCCCTAAAATATAATAATGTAATATAATAATAGTATAACAATAAACTAAAAATGTAAATATATAATGATATAATTATTTACATATATAAATACCCATAAATATAAATATATATAATATATTTATAAATATAGAATATATAAATATAATACATAAATAACTAATATATAAACAGATAATAATAAAGCTGACTAATAATAATAAATGGTGTAATAAGCTCCAAAATACTTGGGAAACCCCCCCAGGCTGTGGAGCCTTGGGGTCTCTGTGAGTCCATGGAATTCCTGTCTCCTCCCCTGCCCCAGGATTTGGGAATTCCGTGGATTGTGGATCCCAGGCTGGAAGTGCAGCAGCAGGGATGGATCCCGCTGGTTCAGCCCCGGCACCTGCTGGGATCTCCAGGAGGCTCCAGCTCCAATTGCTCTCCAGGAAGGGAAGATCCCAGCGGGAGGAATCCGCTGGAGCCATTGGGATAATGTGGGAAGGGAGCTGAGCCATTCCCACCTTGGGATAATGTGGGAAGGGAGCTGAGCTATTCCCACCTTGGGATAATGTGGGAAGGGAGCTGAGCTATTCCCACCTGATGGGAGGGATGGAGCTGGAGGGTCTGTGTGTGATCCAATATCCCTTGGTTTTCCTGCACTTCAGTGGGAAGAGCAGCTCCTGAGACTCCAGGAGGGAAGAGCTGGAGGAGGGAAGAGCTGGAGGAGGATGAGCTGGAGGAGGGAAGAGCTGGAGGAGGATGGGCTGGAGGAGGGATGAGCTGCTGGCTCTGGTTGGAGGCTCTTGGGGAGCTCCAGGTGACATTCCAGGTGTGTTTAAGGGAACAGGACATGGGGCGGCCTCAGCTGAGCCTCCCACTGAGGGATACTCCGAGGGAATTCCCGGATCAACCTCTCTGCCAGCTCTAATAGGGGAGAGGGAGAGAGGGAAGGCCAGGTTGGATGAACCTGGAGCAACCTGGGCTGGTGGGAGGGGTCCCTGCCCAGGGTAGGGGTGGGATGGGAGGAGCTTTAAGGTCCCTCCCAACACAACCCATTCCAGGATTCCAGGAAACCTGGAGCAGGGGGGTTTGCCCTTGGAGCAGCTGGCACAGGGAGCTGTTCCTAAAAGGGCTGGAGAGGGACTTGGGATAAGGGCTGGAGGGACAGGACACAGGGAATGGCTTCCCTCTGCCAGAGGGCAGGGAGAGATGGGATAGTGGGGAGGAATTCCTGGCTGGGAGGGTGGGGAGGGTCTGGGCTGGAACTCCCAGAGAAGCTGTGGCTGCCCCAGCCCTGGGAGTGTCCAAGGCCAGGCTGGAGCAGCAGGATAGTGGGAGCTGTCCAGGGCAGGGGTGGAACCAGAAGGGCTTTAAGGTCCCTCCAACCCAACCCCTTCCATGATTCCAGGAAACTCAGAGCGGGTCATGGATCAGCCCTGTGGCCCCACGGGGGGCAGGGACGAGGCTGGAGGCTCCTGCAGCCAGAGAGCCTGGAGAGAGGGGGTGATGGGGAGTGACGAGGACACACAGCTCGTTAATACCCTTCATTTAATCCTTCACTGGGGCAGAAATGTCAGGACCGTGCCCGGCTCGGGCCACGTTTGGTGTTGCTGGAGGGTAAAAGTGATGCCCTCGGTGCCGAGGACAGCAAAGTCCCGTCAGTCACCCGGGCCTGGGGACACAGCAATGCCCGCAGGTGTCGCTGCTGCCGCTGCTGGAGGAATTCCTGAGTACTGGGAGCTCCAGGGTGCTGCTGCTGGAGGAATTCCTGAGTACTGGGAGCTCCAGGGTGCTGCTGCCGCTGCTGGAGGAATTCCTGAGCTCCGGGACTCCCTCAGATGCTCCCTGGGAAGAGCAGCCCCTGCTCCTCCTGCCCCCAGCCCGGCGGGGACGGGGCCTGGCCCTGCAGCGTCACCACGGCCCCCAGGGACACCTTCTGGGGACAACACAGGGACACGGTCAGGGCCTGATCCCACACAGGGACACGGTCAGGGCCTCATCCTGCACTGCGAATTCCAGTCAGTGCCTCAGCCCACACTGGGAATTCTGGTCAGCACCTCCCCCCTGCCCCAGAGATTCCCTGCACTGGGAAGTCCAGTCAGTTAAAAACAGTTAAAGGCAGTTAAAACCAGTTGAAGCCAGTTGGAACCAGTTAAAGTAAGTTAAAGGCAGTTAAAATCAGTTAAAGGCATTTGGAGCCAGTTGAAACCAGTTAAAGGCTATTATAGTCAGTTAAAGCCAGTTGGAGCCTGTTAAAGCCAGTCAAACCCAGTTCAAGCCAGTTAAACCCAGTTCAAGCCAGTTAAACCCAGTTCAAGCCAGTTAAACCCAGTTCAAGCCAGCTCAAACCAGCTGAGGCAGTTAAACCAGTTCAAGCCAGTCAAAGCCAGTTCAAACCAGTTCAGCCAGTGAAAGCCAGCTGAGGCAGCTGGAGCTGGCTAAGCCAGCCCCAGGCAGGTGGTTGGAGCTGGGGGGCACAGCCAGGACAGGCCCTGGGGGTCCCTCCCAGCTCTCCCCCCGCGGCTCCCCCAGCCCGAGCGGGGTCCTGGGCCCGGCCTCGTCACCTCAAAGGTCTTGTCCAACCCAGGGCAGTGCCCAAATCTCATCTAAGCTTGACATAATTTGGCTCTCACTTGGCCCTGAGCCGTCCCTGCCCTCCCCAGGCTGGGCAGCAGCTCGGTGACCTCATTTACCTGGAAGTCACGGATGTAGGTGAGGAAGAAGCTGAGGAAGGAGAAGGCCAAGGACCACTCGGAGATGGTGCTGATCATGTGGGGGGTGTATCCCTGTGTGGAGAGGGGAGATCAGTGGGAAAAGCTGCTCTGGGAGCTGCTGGGACACAACAATGCCTTGGGACATCCCATGGGACATCCCACATCCCACTGGAGAGCAAGATCCCTTAGAGCCTCCAAGAATGAAGAGTGGGAATGGCCAGGAAAACCCCTGGGATGGCACTCCCTGGGAATTTTATACCTGAAGGCTCAATCCAGAGCTGGGCCTGACCAACAGACCCTCAGAGCTGGGAGGTTCAGGCTCTGGGGACAGGAGGGATTGATTTGAGGTCACAGTTGGAGCTCCAACTGTTTTGGGATTGATTTAAAGTTGCACTTGGAGCTCCAACTGTTTTGTGGGAGCAGAACCTCACCAAGTTCTGGCACAGGTTGTCCAGAGAGGTTGTTGTGGACTCTCCATCCCTGGGAATGCCCAACGCCAGGTTGGAACAACCTGGGATAGTGGAAGGTGTCCCTGCCCATGGAGCGAGCTGGGATTTGAGGTTCCTTCCCATACAAACCAGCCTGGGATTCCAGGATTCTGGAGCCCCTCTGCCATGGAGCCAGGCTAGGAGAGCTGGGAATGTTCCCCTGGAGAACAAAAAGCTCCAGGGACACCTTGGAGCCCCTTCCAGGGCCTGAAGGGGCTCCAGGAGAGCTGGAGAGGGACTGGGGACAAGGCCTGGAGGGACAGGACCCAGGGAATGGCTTCCCACTGCCAGAGGGCAGGGACAGATGGGATATTGGGAAGGAATTCCTGGCTGGGAGCGTGGAGCCACCTGGGATGGTGGGAGGTGTCCCTGCCCAGGGCAGGGTGGCACTGGATGGGGTTTGAGGTCCCTTCCCACCCACCCCAGCCCGGCATTCCAGGATTCCGGGGAGTTCCCGTCCCACCCACACTGGGATTGGTGACGCTCCCCTGTCCCTCACCCTCTCCTGGGGGTCCCAGTGCAGCTTCTGCACCAGGCCTGGTCCGTAGAGGCCACTGGAGAGCAGCACCGAGGACACGAACACTGCGGGGCGTCAAGGAACGGGCAGGGACAGGGATGAGGCTTTGGGCCCTGCTTTGGGCCTGGATTTAGAACCAGCTTTGGGCCCAGCTTTGGGCCCTGCTTCGGGCCGGGCTGAGCTCTACAGGAGGCTCCCCGGGGTCAGGAGGGTGTTGGTGCCACAGGCTCTTTTCATCCTGGGCCTGCAGCTCATCCCAACCATTCCTTGCTGTCCCACCAAAGAGTTCACTTGGCCCTCCCCCCACTGCCCTCGTTCTCCAGGAGCTGCAGCTCCTTATCCCTCCCTGATCCCAGAGGAGCCCCCCCTTATCCCTCCCTGAATCCAGCTCACTGCCATTCCCAGCTGGAATCCAGGATCCAGCTCACTGCCATTCCCAGCCTTTCAGCTGGGAGGGTTCAACGAGGTTGGATCCAAAGCCCATGGAGGCTCCAGAGCCACATTCCAGGGCAGGGATAAAGGAGCTGCAGGAGCTCCAGAGGAGCACGGGGAAGAATACAGGGATGCAGGGATAGAGGGATGCAGGGATAGAGGGATGCAGGGATAGAGGGATGCAGGGATACAGGGATGCAGGGATCCAGGGATAAAGGACACAGGGATGCAGGGATACAGGGATGCAGGGATAAAGGACACAGGGATGCAGGGATAAAGGACACAGGGATGCAGGGATTCAGGGATAAAGGATACTGCTGCAGATGCTGCAGGTGCTCCAGAGCAGCACAGGGATGCAGGGATTCAGGGATGCAGGGATTCAGGGATGCAGGGATTCAGGGATGCAGGGATTCAGGGATAAAGGATACTGCTGCAGATGCTGCAGGCGCTCCAGAGCAGCACAGGGATGCAGGGATGTAGGGATGCAGGGATTCAGGGATGCAGGGATTCGGGGATAAAGGATACTGCTGCAGATGCTGCAGGCGCTCCAGAGCAGCACGGCCAGGCGTGCCCAGAAGATTCCCTTGCCGTGGAATTGCGGCTGCATGCGGAAGGACAGGACGGTCTGGAGCAGCATGTAAATGGCTCCCACGCCGAAGGTCAGGCAGGCTCCCAGCACGTGGATGTAGTACAGGATGCATTTCTGGGAACAGCAGCCACGGCCTGCTCTGAGCCCCCAGGAGCCTTTTCCTCTGGGAAACTTTGGAGCTTTCCCCCCTCCCCGGGGTGTTCTGACATTCCCAGCCAGGCAGGCCTGGAACGTGCTTGGGATTTGCCTTGGAATTGGAGCTTCCTGGTGAAACTCCAGGTCAGAGCAGGGCCTTAAACACGGGAATTTGTGGGAGTTGTTGGCATTAATAACGGACACAAACACAGGAACTGGGGCAGGGAATTCCTGCCGGGAATTTGTACCCCAGGAATCCAGGGGAGGTCATGGAAAACAGGAGAGACACAACAGAATTCCAGCAGCCAAAAGGAGATGGGAAAGCACAAGGGTCAGCATTTGTCCACATGACTCTGCTGGAACCAGGACTGTATGTGGAATTCTCTTGGAATGCTCTGAGGGAACAAGGCTGGATAATAACTAAAAAAAAAAATTCACAGTTTCCTGGTGGGAATTTGACCCCAAATCCCCCCAGTTTGCTCCCAAAGGAAATAAGGAATAACTAAAAAAAAAATTCAGGTTTTTTAACAGTTTCCTGGGAGGGAATTTGACCCAAAAAAATCCCAGTGTGCTCTCAAGTTAAGTAAGAAATAACTAAAAAAAAAAAAATATAATTTTTTTAACAGTTTCCTGCTGGAAATTTGACCCCGAATCCCCCCACTTTGCTCCCAAAGGAAATAAGGAATAACTTAAAAAAAAAAGGTAATTTTTTTAACACTTTCCTGTTGGAATTGGACTTAAAAATCTCAGTTTGCTCCCAAAGCAAATAAGGAACAACTAAAAGAAAATGATAATTTTTTTAACAGTTTCCTGGTGGGAATTTGCCCCCAACCCCCCCAGTTTTCCATGACAAATCTCCCAGGGATCTGAGAGCAAAGGCCAAACCTGGAAGTTGGCGATGATGCAGAGGCCAAAGCAGCTGACCCAGCCCAGGGTGAGGCCGATCCTGTTGAGCCGGAGCATCCTGGAATTCTCTGGGATCAGGGCACTCACCTGCTTGTACCGCACGTACATGGTGGCCACCCCTGCAGGGACAACAAGGGGCACATTCCCAGCGGAATTTCCACCGGGAAGGTGCTGAGTGACACAGAGAATGCTTTAAAATACAGGGATTTTGACAGGAACAGGGAAGGTGAGGGGCTGGAATTGCAAACTGGAACGACACAGCAGCAAATAATTCAAATATAGGGATTTCCCTGATATTTTCTGCATTTAACACCCCTACCCCCAAGTTGGTTTTTCCCTCCTTCCAGGTAAATGACTGCCTGCACTTGGCATTGTGATTGCTTTTATTCCTCTTGTTGGGTTTTTTAATGCCTTTTTCTACCCTTCTGGAAGCTGCAATTCCCGTGCTGGGTTCCTGGATAACCCCCCTGGATTTCCTCTCCAGGGAGATTTCTTGCCCAGTGTTGGATTTTAAACTGAGATTTCGGGGCCCATCAATGACCTGAGGGGGAAATCAAATGGTTTGAAGCTTTTCCCACTTACCCAGGAAGGTGGAAACGTTCAACATGATCCCAAACAGGCACCTTTCAGGTGGAATCGTCCCTGTGTCGCTGGAAAAGACAAATTCCAGGCTTGGGGAATTCCAGTCCAGCCCCTCCCAGGCAGGAATTCCTTCCCAATCTCCCATGTCTCCCTCCCTCTGGCAGTGGGAAGCCATTCCCTGTGTCCTGTCCCTCCATCCCTTGTCCCCAGTCCCTCTCCAGCTCTCCTGGAGCCCCTTCAGGCCCTGGAAGGGGCTCCAAGGTGTCCCTGGAGCTTTTTGTTCTCCAAAGGAACATTCCCAGCTCTCCCAGCCTGGCTCCACAGCAGGGGGGCTCCAGGATCCTGGAATCCCAGGCTGGTTTGGATTGGAGGGACCTTAAATCCCATCCCATCCCATCCCATCCCATCCCATCCCAGATTGCTCCAACCTGGCCTTGGGCACTTCCAGGGATTCCAGCTTCTCTGGGAATTCCATCCCAGGGCCTTCCCACCCTCCCGTGGAAGAATTCCTTCCCAGTATCCCCCCCATCCCCTCCCAGTCCTGCCTGTCCAGCAGCCCCTGAGCAGAGCCGTGGGCACGGAGCGCTTGGAGCCGGGATCCGTGGGAATTCCTGGGACAGGGGACACCACTGACCTGATGTAGGGCACCAGGGGGTCCACGTGGTGCAGGACGGTGGCAGTGACGTAGGAGAGCAGGAAGGAGGCTGCTGACCACACCACCAGGGCCACGGGCAGCAGGGACAGGCCCTGCTGGAACCACCACATGGCCGGGTGGGCACGGACACTGCGCTGGGGACAGCGGGGACAGGGTCAGTGAGGGGATGGGATGGGATGGGATGGGATGGGATGGGATGGGATGGGATGGGATGGGATGGGATGGGATGGGATGGGATGGGATGGGATGGACACTGCGCTGGGGAC